CGTTCAATTACTAAAAAGCCCTATTTGCTTACGCTTTAATTTTCTACATAGAAATGCCTTTCAAGTGTGGGGAAAAAATCCAAAAATAACAATTTTGGGGAATGAGAAGGCTCGTCGCCTGCCGATATTTTCTCTGCTGATACATCATCCTGATAGTGGAAAGATTTTGCATCACAATTTTGTCTCTGTATTACTTAACGATCTTTATGGCATCCAGGCTCGCGGAGGATGCGCGTGCGCAGGGCCCTATGCACAGGTATGGTCTACAGATGATGAGCATTCTGTAAAGTAATCAGACAAAGTATGCTTTACGCTGGCAATTGTGCGGTTTTGTGGCTTAGTTTACGCGTCATTTGTGTGCGCTTGAACACTTTTATTCAAACTTGTCGTAGAAATGTATTCATTCACGAACGCTCAAATGATTACAGACCCAATTGTACTGTACTCTCAAGGGTGGGTACAAAACTTCTTGACAGGGGTTGGGGGGAGATCCAAAGGAAACAGCATATTGCACTAAAGCCTAGATAGACAAAGAAATGTTTCCAAATAGGTGAATTTTTACTACCTTTAGTTGAGTTTTAATGATCGATCCAGTCATTGGAATGAGGATCCAACACTGACTTGGTCCTATATTGTCATTAATAATTATATTTTGTTGTCACTGACCTTCGCTCTAAATATATACAGGATCTTTTGGGAATAAACGAGACTATAGCAAAGAAATTTACCTGGTTTCTTGAGTCTCATGAAAAGTAAGTCAATTAATTCGAGTACCTCTATGGAGATCAATACTGATAACCCCTTTTACTAACAGAAAATAAAATTTTCCAAGAGGGCTGATTTTTGTACATTGCATGAGAAAGTTTCACATGAAGAGGAGAATCGTTAATTATTGAGCTAATGGCTTTCACAATTTGGAATTTATCGCCTATAACCGAACGGCCTTTCAATGTTCAATGCATTTTTTGGTCATTGCACAGATTAAACTCCAGTTAAGTCAAAGTAAGCATAAACTACTCGCTGAGTAGTAACAACTAACAGTAACAACCCTATATACTACAGTGAAATCATTATTTGTTACAACGAGAGACTCTACTGATTATGAAAAATGTTTCACTAAAACGTACGAATGATTACTTTCGTGTTTCAGCGAAGATGTGGAACTCTCATGTAGAGAACCTCTGGAGATCATGAAGTAAGTAGAATATCTTTCATTATCTTAGAATATTCACAGAGATTAATAGTCTTCAGCAGTTGAATTGTCTAGTAATTTCATACATAACTCAGTATTTTACGCGCTACGCGGTGTCTATGGCCGATATACTGACGCGTGACATGTTTGGTTCATGCCTCCTAGTATGATCAATATAAAAAGTTTTCGCAGCCAATTTTAATGTTTGATGGAAATATGATTTCATTGGAACTGGAAAAAAGATAGTAACTTACACACGTTCCTTACTTAGCCAGTTTAGGATAAAAAAATGTTACAGCAAAGGGACACTAAGGACTCAAAGAACCAAATTGTTGTTTTCAGACCAGGGTTTGCCAGAGTCAATCTGCCTTACTTCATGGATGACGAGACAGTGCATTTTGTGTTGGAAGCAGTGGACATGATAGCCACACATGGCTGGAAATTGTTACCACAGGTTACTAGTGACTCTTTAGTTCCTAGAGGTGATTGTATCTAGCTTCTCCCCTCTTTTAATACATCATCAAGCAAAAGCTGACGAGAAAAAACAAATGTATCAGCTATCAGTTATTCCTGATATGACATATGACATATGGAAAAAAAAGTAATCGGAGGATCACAAAAGAGATATCAAATGAAATAAAAAAAAAAGAAAAAACTTTAGGGGAATGAACTGTAAGCGTACGATTTTGTTGACGATGATGAATTTATTATAATTATTTTTCGATATTAACTATAATCTAGATTAAGAGCTATCTTTACTACCTGTTGCATAAAATGCAAAAATTGTCCATTGGTACTTCTCCAGTAGTTTTGTTTTGCTTTTGTGCTCACGGGTATATGCTGGGAGCTGCTGCCAGCTAAGCTGCAGAGTCACATGCTAAGAGCGAGGTAAAGTTTAGGGGGGCGCCAAGTGTTTCGTTTATTTCTCTAAGCTTCGATTGCTACAATGCTTTGATTGCAGTTCACCTCGTTACCTCATTGGATACTATAAAATTGCTCATATACTCTTATCGCTCTTAGTACCGGTTTGATCCACACACTGGCGCCTGGGAAAACAGATATTTCAGTGCAGACAAAGCTAAACCACCGTTCAGTCTCCATGACGTTACTTATGACGAGATTGGGGTAGTAATGAAAAATACAGGAAAACCACTAGAGCTCGACGTCAGGCTTGAGGTTAGTGCCATCAATTCTAAGTCAATCTTAAGGTAACTGCTATAAAATTCGACGTCAAGCTTGAGGTTACCGCGATCAAATTCGACGTCAAGCTCGAGGTAAATACTGTCAAATTCAACGTCAAGCTTGAGGCTAATGCTATCAAATTCGACGGCAAGCTGGAGGGTAGTGCAAGCAAATTTGACGTCAAGCTTGAGGTTACTGCTATCAAATTCGACGTCAAGCTTGAGGTAAATGCTATCAAATTCGACTTCAAGCTTGAAGTTACTGCCATTAAATTCGACGTCAAACTTGAGGTTAGTGCTTTAGTGCTATCAAATTTCTTTTCTTGCATGATAGTTTCTGCCGATTCGGGTCCAAAGTTTTAGTCAGTAACCAAGGAAACATTGGTGAGGGGGGAAGGGATTGATGTTAGAAGGGCGTCAGTTTCATAGGTCTCTCAGTTCCGCAAAAGCTAATTTTGGTTTCAAACGGATAGTCAGTCTGTGTCTTAAGACATCAGTTTCCAACCTGTAAGTTCTCGTTAGCGAATTCTCTTTTCATTTCAGCAAGAGCTAAAGTTGACAAGTTAACGGTTGGTCGCCGGTTTTGCTCGTGTTTCCCAAAAACCATGTTTAGTATGTTGATTGTTGCTTATTTCTTATAATGAATTTTCAGGACATAGCCCAAGCAGCAAGCAAAATCTTAAAAGACGCAGTTGAATTGAATAAGGTTTGTTAATTAGCGACGCCAACTATCCGATAAAAACAATGAGCACAACAAACGTTTTAGTTCTCAACAGAAGCATGTAACAGCATCTAGTTTCAAATATAGGGTCACCCACCTGAGAGGAAGCTCTTTTCAGCTTATGAACTACCTCGGTGATTGCATCGCAGTGAACGGGGCCAATACTTTGTTTGATCATGTGGATGAAATTTGTAGAGGATTTAACAGGCATCTCGAATGGCTATTCTCCCAAAACACTCCCCACCACCAACAATTACTCTTTTCCCGAAAGTAAGAATTGAAAAAAAAAACATTCAAAACGTTGTTTCGCTGAAAAGTTATAACACGTCTGTGGGTAACGATAAATGCTTCATGAATAACCCGGATCTTCGAAGGAAAAAACGAAACTTATCGCTATGAATTGCGTGCCTTTAGTGAGCTTGTGCCTGACAGGACGAAGGAAGAAAATCCTGTCATTACTCGGTCAGTACGACCAGGCCTCAGCTTTGAAAGGTAGTCATCCTGAGGAACACACATTTTGTCTATTTGTAAGAAAAGTAACTACGACGACATCAATAAAACAAAAACATTTTTGATTATCCAGAGGAAGTTGTCAGATTCAAAATGTTCTGGCTTTAAAAGAACTCTTCATCAAGGTCAAGGACATGTATATTAAGTTTATCCATACCCAGTGTTTTCCCTTACCTTACTACGTTAATTAATCTGACTTTATACCGCAGGAAATAAACACCCTCGACGACGAAAGGGTAGAGTTCAAGGACGATAAAAACCAGTTAATCTGGTTTTTGCAACCCCAGGAGGCACAGTTTTACTTGGCGGCCGAGACATTGAAGCACAAACCCAACACATTTGTGAGAACAAGACTTCCATTTAAGCCACGAAAATCCTCGAGAGCCACGAGAAGGTGGCCAGAGATTAAAGAAATTCAAGAGTACCTTAAAAAACTAAAGGAGTTAGAAGTTGGCGAGGAAGGTAATGTTCTCTTTCAAGTAAAAAACAGCTTGAAAATACTGCCAAAATTTGTCGTGGATTGGAATATGGAAATGGTAATCGTAGTTTAAAGTTCTTAAATGATCTAGTAAGCATGTGGGCTTGCAACATTTCTTGGATTTGAAATACTTTCTTTTTTATTGCAATTAAGTGCAAGATTCGATAAATCGTTTTAATTTAAGGACCATATATTTACTTGTTCATTTCAGATATTCCTCAGTTGCCAACGGTTAATAATAACACTACGGCTATGAACAAAAAAATAGACGGCGACCATCGCTTTATCATCCCGCGTGAGGTTTGGAAACCACAAGGGAAGTCTGAAGAGTTAATTGCGATAGGAAAAAAGCGATCAAAAGTTTGTTGTATACAATGACAGTTATTTCCTACCGGAAGCTCCACCACTTTATTGGTCTATGGAGCGGAAACGTAGGTAGAACATGACAAGAATGTAGAGTATTTATGTCTGATTTGTTTTGTGCCCTTTTTATTAACATATAGATATTTAGTAGCTATATTGCAGAGGTTATCACGGTGTGGTTGAATTTATTTAAGCTCGTGACCCGCTCGGCCTGCTTTTCATACTTGTAAATAAAAGATAATCGACTGACTTTTGTTGTTGTTGTTATCGTTGCTGTTGTTTGATAACTCTTTCTATGATTGCTAGTGATGTTCCGAACTCTCAGTCTTCCCTTCCTTTCCCGCGAATCTGCGATCGGGTGTTGCTTTGGATGAAGAGGAGGAGAAAATCGAAGAACTTTGTACCCTTCCGCAAGAAATTATGTAATAACCAAGTCGTGCGAATTGTCAGACATTTCAGTAAGAGATTTTCTAATTCTTATTTCTTTGCCCCACCTTGTAATACTATTAAAACTCACAAATCATTACATGTAAATGAAACTATGGCAACTAGACCTTACAACATTAGAAAGAGGAGTCACTCGTGAAAACTTTTGAAATGGACGAAGAGCAACGTCTGAGATTATTGACTGTCTTTAAAGCCAAACTTTAATTATGCGAGCTTTTACATCTTTAAACGGTCACAGATCGGAACCTCTACTAAATTTTCAGTTGATCCTCATCGGCTGCGGCGATATCACCCAAAACTACCTGATAGCCAAAGGTCGCATTCTTTTGAATCTAATCGACCACATCTACCCCTTAAATATCATTGCTGTCATTGGTGTTGTTTACTTAAGTCGAAGTAGTTCAAGAGGTCTTTTCACTACCTAAGGATCTAGATTCTATAACTCAGTCCGCTATGCACGAATATATATATTTCCACGTGGATTAACGACATTTTTTAAATGATTGCTCTTGCTCGTACCACAAGGATCGTGAGACGGCCAGTCTTTGCCAGTGTATCCATCGAAGTAATAGTAAAGGCTGTACCATTCACTATCTCTGTAAAGTTTTGGTCCATAACCTTTACTTGGGGATATTTTGGAAGGTGCCAAAGCACTTGTACAGGTGTTAGTCACGTGTTTCACTACCTTACAGCTGACTTCCCCTTCTTGCCAATCAACCAAACTTCCAGTTCCTGGATGACACACCAGCCAGTTATTTATGTTGCTCTTGATAAGGATTTGTCTGCCGAGTAGTTTCCAGAGCGAGAAATTCATGGCGTTGAAGTTTGTTTCATTTAAAGGAGGAGTTGTTGATATAGGGACATTCACTTCAGGGGTCACTTGCCAGTTGGGTCTCGGTGTCACTGCATTTGAATGAGCTGTAAAATCTACGTTATTAGTGAAGGAGTAGCTCCACACTAGAGTCCAGCCTCCTCCATCGGTTTTCATGTCACAATACGCTCTGAAGGCGTTTGTGTGGGATCCACCGTCAGGATCAATCCAATAAACACCCGACTGAGATTGGCTATGAAGGGCCTGGCACGAGGCAATTGCTGCCGATTTAGAGGTACCTGTATAGAACGGGATGCATTAGGAAAAAAAAAGGATTTAATTTTTAGAAAAATAATTACGGGTGGGAAGATGGAAAATTTTGAGTTTAATACAGGACCATTTGACACGTGCGTGAGACGAAGGAAATATCTGAGTACATAACGAGCTGATTTTGTGGTCGAACGTGTCAGGACTGACTACTATTCACTCTGAAGCAGGATGTGTTTTGATGGCCAAATCTACATCACCCACCCAATAAACTGTAAACTCCTGTTGAGGTGATCTGCAAAAAGAATCATTATTCAAGATTAGGTTCCATTAGACTTAAATTCTTACTAATCAAATTATTAATGATTCTCTCGCCAACGAGCAAGCAAGATTACCGAAAAAAATTATCGCTAAGGTCGATTCATTTTTGAGGGAGACATTTTACAAGTCCGTCAAAGAAGCATAATTTAGAACAGCCGCCGCTTGTCTACGCACCCTGCCGGAGTAACAAGCAACTGGCAGGGGTACAACTTTAAATTACCTTTTTCAAATAAAAGGTTCCATCTTGTTTAACAAGCGTATTTGCCAAGTGTGTTTGACCTTCACCGAGAAGCAAGCATGTTCCTTTGCTTCCTTCAAAAATAACCCGTTTACAAGCTGATTGACTCGCACATGTCCGGGAACAGCTCAATAAAGAGTTTGCTTTTCCCTGCCAAATAGAGTTTCCATCAAATTTAAAAACGTTTTCTTTGATTTCAAACAAGACACCATCCTCTTCTGGCTGGGTTTTTGCTGGTAAGGACAAATAAACGAGCACGAAAATCAGCATCTGTAAAAAAAAAGATGAAACAGTTGCCATAAAGATCTCATATATCTGTACATATCCATAAAGATAACAAAACTCAACGATGTGTCTAATGGCTATCTGTGACTTACAGTGCCGCATTAATTGTCACCTTGGAAAGATGATTGCCTTGGAAATTTCTTGATATTTTCGAGCGAGAAACGTAAATTATAATGTGCGTGGTGAAAACTATTGCACTGAGCGGACTAAACAAATACTGGAAGATTAATGACTTTCTTTGTTGACTTTGAAAAGCCAAATGATAAATCAATACATTGCTGAACATTATGACGCCAATCAATTTTGACACTTTATTATCTTTCTAACCATTTGTGATAAAATCATCTTCGAATGACGGGATGTATTTTGAATGAGTGTGCTTTACTTAAGTGTGGCCCTTCACTTCTTTTAAGCCACTTATGTTTTATTATTTTTTATGGGACGAAGTAAAGAACAACCAGCAAAAAGCAGCTTCTGATGAAATTTTGCTGAGAATGAACAAGTTGCAGTAGTTCTAATTAAAAAATACATTTATGACTTTCTTACGGCTGTGTCCCAGTGTGATCTTCCTTTCAAACCAAAACAACGGAAGCATCGCTTCATTCCAAATTCCTTCCACGAAAAAAAAAGTAAAAGAAAATTTTCATGTTAATTTTCTCTCTCTATTTAGATATATATATATTTCTAAGTTCGTTAGGCTGGGTTTCATTGTTCTCGGATGTAAATGTGTATTATGAATTCATTACTGTATGTTCCTTTTCATTCAGTTGGTTTATTTTCTATTTCATTGATAGTGTTATCTTTTATCACTTATTATTCCACCCCAGCGCCGTTTAGCTATGGAACTGTTTCTATGCTACCAAAGTGTGTTATAAGCCAGGCCGGCTTAAGATCAGCAATTGGTCAGCATACTCATTACAGACTGAGATAAAACAGATATACATATTGGTAAAAAACCTTGTTTGAGGACTAATGTGATTTAATAACATCACTAGTATTCTCTAAACATGATATCATCACGGGGCTGGTAATTTTCCGGTTAAAAAAATCTCGTAATTATTTTTCATCTTATGTTCCTCTCTTTATCTGTTTCATCCAAGTTACAATTGATAAAATCCTCTGTAGTCATCAACGGAACGGAAAAGAAGCTTCCCCAATGGCCGGGATAGCATAAAAAATTCAATCACAGCGATAGAAAATCTTAGCTATTGTAAATATAATTAACTGTGTTTGTCCGTCATATTGGAAATTAAAAGATGTGCACGACGCTCATTTGTACCATCCCTGTGGTATCACGGCAGGTTTTACCGGTATCCCGCTGAGATATGGAACATAGGTCACGTGATATGAACCATCAACAGCTAAAAATTGATATTGAAGCGGCAGATTTTGATGGAGCCGTTGATAAATCTGTTCAATGTATTTTAAGATATGATTTTTAATTCTTACTTCAAAACCAAATACCCAGTTAACGCTTACTCATACACAAAGAGTATTCCAACCACGGCTACATTGTTTTGGGAGAGTAGATAGCAAAAAAACCATTGAGGAAAGTTGGCTATTATTTCTTCATCTCCCGAACATGTGCGAGTAAGTAACTGTTTCATGTATAATAATATATATGGAAAAATTTCTCAGTTCTGATTGGTTAAGATAAATGCAGTTTTCAGGTAATTTAGTGCAGAAGAGAGTTAATTTAGTGCAGAAGAGAGTTAATTCAGTGCAGAAGAGGGTTAATTCAGTGCAAAGAAAGTAACAAATCAGACATTCTGATTGGTCAATAATCAAAGAAACTCACAGATAGCCAATCAAATGCAAGCCTTGGATGTCGCAACAAAATTTGAAAATTTGAAAATTTGCGAGCGAAACAATGGCCGGCGTTTTAAGTAGGTTTTCTTTCGCCACCGCAGCTGAAAAACAGCTCAAACAACGAAAATACTGTAAAAAGCACTGCTTTTTGGTTGTCGGTTTTGAAAAAGTGGTGTTTAGAGAAGGGAATTGCCAAGGAAATCGAAAATTACGAGCCGACCTAGCTTAACATTTTGCTCGAGCGATCCAACGCCGAAATTAGAAACAAACATTGTTAAACCTCGGAAACGACGATTCCATTTCATCGAAAGTGATTCGGACACAGACTGAACAATTCCTTAAACTGTTTAGCCGGACTTTGAACTTTTTTGCGCCTTAAAGATGTGAAGATATCATTGCATATTATTCTTTTGATCGTACGTTGTTGTTTTGACCACACGTATGGTTTGAATAAATTATTTTTACGCTTGATGCGCGCCCTTTGCTTAATTTTGATAAGCCATCTCGAATTTTTCCATGTATATTATTAACACGTAATCACATGATTTTTCTCGTGCAAATTTGGAATAAACAAGCACTTGTTAGTCTTTGAAAAAATTTACTCGTGCTTATTTATTCCAAATTGCACTCGAAATCATGTGATTACCTATACAAATGACGCGGAAATATATCTCGTTCCCAGAGGTCACGCTTTCAGTCATCGTTTCCCGCTTGCAAGGGATTAGGGGAGTGTGAACGGAAACGAGTTTTCGCCGAAATATGCGTCAAACTTCTAAGTGCCAGCGATCATCAATTCGTTACGTCCCCAAGCATCATATGTGAAATGCACATCAAAATACGACAAGCAAGTATGGTGAGTTTTTATTTTGTCACAAGAAACGCAAGCAACTTAATTCAAATAACAAATTACACAGCAGTCTACCTCTTCATGCATAATGGACTTTTTCCCAGTTTTTTTGGTAGGTAGAATTACACTCTAGACTCTGGAAATCGAATAAACAACGAGCATCTCCGCCTACAGTTCCACACGAGAAGTAACAGCGTTTAAAGAAACGTTAAAGTGAACGACTTGGTTTTCAATAAAACGCGTTGCGGGTTGCAAGTTGAAATTTGCCTCTTAGTCTGTCAGCTTCTAACTGCCTAAAGTAAGCTGAGTCTTCATCCCGTTGTAGATTTTCTTGGAATTCTTGCACGTCATGTTCAAATTTCCGCCGTAACTCCCGTCGCATTTGTCGGACCACCTGTGAATCGAAAAGATGGAAAAAAAAGACGTTTAAATATGCGGTTGGAAAGTTAATTTACCGCTCACCACCAACGTACAATGTTGAATTAATTTACATATATATAGAGAGAGAAAGTGTAAAATTTTGACTTTCGTGAAACAGTGCTCAGTACATAGGAGTAGAGCGATGTCTATATTGTGGGAGGAAAAACACAAATAAACAGTTTATTTATCTTTTTCCTCCCATAATTAATATATATATATATATATATATATATATATATATATATATATATAGATATATATATAGGAAGTCTGCCAGTCGATTTTCGCGTGGAACAGTGCTCAATACGTTGAAGCAGAGCAGAATAAATATTATGAGAGGAAAAAAGGACGCATTTACATTTCCTGACAAGCCTGTTTCGTGAATCGCTTCACTCTTCAGGGGTTTAATGAAAGAATATTCATGTGACTCATGTGAATATTCATGTGACTCAATATTCATGTGATTCATTAAACCCCTGAAGAGTGACGCGATTCACGAAACAGGCTTGTCGGGAAATATAGTATATATAGAGAGAGAAAGTCCTTTTTTTCTTCTCATAATATATATATATATATATATGTATATATATATATATATATATTCTAAAACAAATGAAAAACGAAAGTCTTCTTTTAACTTTTACTTTGCTTTTAAAGTAAAAGTTAAAAGACTTTCGTTTTTCATTGGTTTTAGTATCTTCATTCGACACAGAAGTTTACAGTTTCTTTATACATACATATACATATACATATACATATACATATACATATACATATACATATACATATACATATACATATACATATACATATACATATACATATACATATACATATACATATACATACATGGAACGTCGTCCTTACTAAAATTAGTTTTTGTAGATGGAGGAAATCCCGGGTGAAAGGACAAGAGACAGAAAAAAAAAACCTCAACAACTTATGACACCAGGTCTGAGAATCTAAACCACAATAATGCAGTGGAAAACGTGCGCTCCATCTACTGCGCCATCCCAGCCTGCTGCTAAGTGTGACTAAGAAGGCTGTACAGCTGAACTTAATACCGAAACAGGAAGTAACGCCGTGGTGGTTTCTCAACAAATGTGCACATAGTGAAGTCATAGTTGCGCAGCTGATAGTCAAGTCTTCACTCACTCACTTGCGTGTTAGTGAGCTTACCTTCTCCTGGGCTTTTTCACGCACTTCCATCTCGTATCTCTCCCGAGCGATTCCATCCGCCAACATGGCGAACTGGTCACGATAGCTGAAAAATGCGCGTCAAGGAAACAATAGCACCAAGGCTGATCAGATAACAGTAATATGTGTGGAAAACTGAACCACACAGGTAAATTGCAGTTAATTAAACAGAACACTGGAAAAAAAGAAGAAGTAAATAAGGCTTTGACGGGGCTTGAGCGTGTGCTTCTCAGACACTGCCTAGGGTTAATTCGCTCAATAGTTCTGGTAAGATTCCTCACACGAAAATCCATTCAAATTTGCCCAGCTCCCAACACGAGGCTTCGTTGCTCAATAGGGAGAAGTACTCAAATAAGGAGGAATGAAAGAAGTAATTCTTCCTCAACCAAATCCTAAAACAAAAGGACAACTTTGAAAATCATCAGAGCAGACTGATCTCACATGCTTGTGAGAGAGACCCAGAATGTTTTTGTTATAATCTATTCTCTGGATAATCGTCTCCAAGCAAAACTCTTTTGACAAGCTGGTAATGGCACTTTCATAAATTCCTTGGGAGAGAAAATACTAAGAAACGAGTACGAAATAAAGGATACAAATTTTCTAGTGACTCAATTTCATTTTGCTGCCTCTGAGCCAAAGTTTCTCTCTTCTCTTTTGCATACTCTCTAAGTTCGCGTATGCGTTGTTTTTGAATCTCCAAACCATCCTCAAACAACCTTTTAAAGATCTAAGGCAAGAGAAGAAGATTCACGTTAAATACTTAAAACAATGAGAACGTGTCAAAGCAGTTTAATGCCTCGAAAGAGTTACACACTAAAAATACCCTTCTTTAAACACAGGGAAAAAAAATTGGGCCCTGACAGCGTTTATTCACTTCCAACCTGTTCTTCACGTGTGCGCCTCTTCAACATTCTGGCCCGCATGCGCAGCTCGTACTCATCGTAGTATCGACGTGCACGTGCAGAGACTTGACGTTTTTCTCTCAGTTTTGCCTTTACAGTCCGCTGTTGTTGCTGCCGCTCTTGTTTATCACGCTAAAAAATAACATTGAGGAAGAAATAAGGTGAAAACATACTAAACAGTTACTAAATGGATGGCGATCGTATCAAAAGTGAGTTCTGTTCAAAGAGCACTGAAAACAACATAAGTTTTTTCACTTTCCTGAAATTTGTATTTGCAAATATAACTTTACCATTCTCATATTATGTTCCACATCTTTTCTTAAAATTCCCACTAACGCCTTTTGTCGTTTCTCAGCTTCTTCAATCATTCTCTGAGTTTTGGTTCTATTGGCGTCCGCACCAGATTTAAGAAAGGAACTAAGGTGCCGCGCCTGCTTGTCCCACATGCTGTGGGCCGTTTGGGGCGAGACATGCAAGAAAGGGAACTCCTCCAACATGGCAGGAAGTAACATGTCTGGGTGATCTGTAGGAGATTGCCAAGAAAATTTTCGGATTATAGATGTAAATTTTTTAAGTTCATCATGAACAATCTTCGTTATCTTTTTAAGTGTCTGGTTAACATTCCCTCCTCTCACAAACTAATATTTCATAGTTTGAATTTACGTTTTCAACCCAGTTGTTAACACTAAATTACCTAATATTTCATAGTTTGATTACAAAAAATTACGAAGAACCACAGCAACTTCCCCAACCCTTCCCCAAAACAACAACTCCAACAACAGTAACAGCTCTAAGAATGGTGACCTAGCTCCTTACAGACCTGTTTAAACAGCTTATTTAGCTGTAATCTCCCAAAATACAATTATTAAACGCAGACTTATTGCAAAGGTACATCTCCATCTGAATTACTAAGTGAAAACGTTCTACCCAACAGGCAAGAAGTCTCGTGAGCGCAAAACGAGATTTCCCAATCTAACTACAAACACCTTCGGCGAATGTAGAGTACGATTGAATCGTGAAATTAAGCGATCGTAAAATACTGAACGACATAATCTGAAGATAATGTTTCGCTAATATGATGCGATACCCAACCTGGACTGTCACTTTTTCTCCTACCCAGTACAGGGCTCGCTGATGCACTTCTCTTCCTTCCCTTTTCCGTTGTCAAAGTCCTCCTCACTGGCCGGGATTTTCTAGTCTGTGAGCAATAGACAGCCTCCAATCTCCCACGTTTCTGGATTGGAGACTTCTTTTTCGGTTTCTTCTTTGGAACTTTTGGTGAGAGCTATAAGTTAAAATGGTCGGATGAGAATTCAGAGACCTTGTACAAAGCTTGTTTGAATTTCTTCAATGGTAAGTATTTGCAGTTATCAGTATGAAACAAATTTTCTTTTTTGCCGGTTTCGCATTCGAATTTTTTCCGTTCTAAGACATCATTTTCTTTTCGTTCCAAGCAAGGCAACTTAGCGACCGTACTGTGGCTCTTAATAGCAATGTCATCACATACAGGTGAGGGTTGAGGAAAACTGTGCGAGGTTCACTCCTAAAAGAGGACGTAAGGGGTGATGGGAGATTGGACCTTTTTGTGCTCATTATTTATCGTTAAGCACGTTACTGAAATTAACTCATAGTGAGAGTTACCGGTAATTTTCTTTTCATGTGCAAAGTTTTCTCTTTCTTTTTTTCTTGTTGTATTTCCCTCAACTGGTCACGATAAGTCTTGCGCATGGTTTCAGTGTGTCGTTTCCGCTCCTTCTCGGACTCCTCGTACAACAGGCGCCTTAACCGATCCATTCTCCCTGAAACTGGAAACGTTTCTACGGTATCACGGAAAGTCACGCCGCGGCGGGGAGCACGTTCAGGAGAAGAATCTTCTTCAGTTGATTCTGGTTGGATAACAAAATAATTATTCAGGAAGGTTTTCTTATCTCTGCAGATCAATGGGAAATCACTTTCTAAAGAGCCGTGAGAGAAAATTTTAGTTGTAAATTTTTTGAAGATAGCAGCGTAGAAAGACTTTTACGACTTTGCATCTGAAAGCAACAATGTCAGCACCAAAGGAAAAAACAAACTAAAATCGATAATTGAATCCATTGTCAGAAACGGAATGTCTTGTAGAAGTGGTGACCTCTGGGCAAGGTCATTTCGATCTTTGGTAGGCCGGACACTTGGGTGCTCTGGAGAGAATACTAAGGTGGAGTGGGCTAGAGGTAACTCGCATGAGGTTAGGATCCCCTTCACGGTGGCTTTTAAAATAACTTATTTATGCCGCAGAAATCAGGAAAACCCCGGACGCTGTTGGCACCTTCACCTTTATAGCTGCGAGGCATTCTTGGCCTCGTAGATGTCCTGGTTGCGCTACCACTTGATCGAGAAGTTGAGAAATCTCTCGTCGTCGGTTTTGCTGCAGGAGGTTCAAGTCTTCCGTAATCTGATTAAAAGAAGTTAATTCTTACCATAATTGTGACTTGTGGGTAAATTACGATGAGAATGTCTTAGTGGCACGAAAAAGGTATCTCTTTTAGCAATCACGAAGCGTGAAATAAAATTCTCGAGTTATGTATTTTCTCATCAGATGTTTGATATCAAATCTCGTAATCGTAGCCGTAGTCGTAATTCTCTACTTCTTCATTTCCGCTCAATGTATGTTTTAGAAATTCAGACAGCTCACCAACAGCACTATCACTGTTCTGACCTAACTCCTCGTCGTCTGCTTCCCTCTCACTGTCACTTTCACCACTTTCGTCATCCGGTGTGGTGTATTTTTGTAAAAGCTCTGCAGCTGTTGATCGAAGCGCTGGATGTTCAGAACTTTTGGATGCTTTCTGCAGTCTGGCGGGGAGAGAAGACGCTAATGGCTGCACCATGGAAAGAAACACATTACGATTAAAGGAAGACGTCAAAACTATTTTTCGAGAGTGTCAAAAGTCTGAACAGTACTTAAAAGCAGTAGGCAGGAAACTTATCACTTGCAATTCTACTCTATTGTCTAAATTCGTTGACGTCCTATTCTTCAGTAAATCATACCACCGATTTAAGGACGGTTATGGCGTCCACTCGGGAGTCAGATGTTTTTCTCAGTGCTTAGCAGGTGTCCTCTCAGTTAAAACTTATAAGCCGCTGTTTCTCTTTCTATCGAGGACAATGAGTTCAAAATGGAGAGGTTGGTTGTTCAAAGAAGATAAAAGAACTCAGACAACTTACCTGGAAATTGGTAAGTCTATAATAGAACGAGTGGAGGCGCGGTGGCCTCATGGTTAAGTGCGCTCGACTCCGGATCGGGTGGTCCGGGTTCGAGCCCTGGCCGGGGTCATTGTGTTGTGTTCTTAGGCAAGACACTTTACTCTCACAGTGCATCTCTTCACCCAGGTGTACAAATGGGTACCAGCAAATGTGCTGGGGATAACCCTGCGATGGACTAGCATCCCCTCCAGGGGGGAGTAGCAATACTCCTAGCCGCTTTATGCTAAGAAAACCGGAGTTAAGCACCGGCCCCATGGGCCACTTGGGCCCGTATAAATTATATACTTTATAATAGAACGCATTCCCGTTTAGGATTCATTGCAATTGTTTTACGACGAGCTGAGACTGGTTTAAATAATTATTCTTGTCACCACGCTGATTATCGTGCTCAGACCTTACTCTAGCGAAACTCTTCATGCATGTAGAAAATAGACGCTGCAACTGCCTTTCGTCCGATCAACCACCAACAAAATACCCTATATCCAGAAGGCGGAGGACCAGCTCTACGATAGACAGACTTTTTAAAAAAGCAAGTAAAATCTTTTTAATGTACCTGCTTTCTCCTCAGACTACTCAATCGGTCTGTTGGTTCGTCTGTCTGTTCTGGTAGTGAGACCCGTTCCTTTAATGCACTATAAGATCTGTTACTTGTGGGTGGCAGTGACGATAACACTGGCGTGGATAAACCTGGAAAAATGATTCAAAGTATGCTGTCTTTTGCTGTCTATAGCACCACTGCACCACTTGAACAAACCCCAAAATCACTGAACAACTTGACGGGGTCGAACTTTGAAGTTCATAGTAAACCAACAGTTTCGGTGATGGGGTAATTTGGTATCATCAACTGAGTTGATAACGTAAATTGACCACCGTTTTGAGCGTTAGCTTTTCCTTAGAGCAAATGACGAAGGGCCAACACTCGAAACGTCAGCTTTGAAACTCTTTACGGTGGCCAATTTAAGTTATCAACTTAGTTGATAATACCATATTACCCTGTCATACTCTCCCACCAACTCAGCACCACAGTTTCTTTTAGAAACTTATCCCCTTTATAGTTTTGGTGATTGTTGGATGGCGATGGTTTGACCTCTAACTCAGGATAGAAATGACGGTTTAAGAAAGGATGATGGAAGAAGAAGAGGAGCTTATTGGGGAATGAAAATCGCTACTGGCGGCGAGGACGATTTAATAGACTAAAACAAGGAAAAACTAAAAAAAGGCATCCCAACGATGTTTATGATACCTAACCTGTTGTAGATGTTGCTGTACTTGTTGCTAATGAAACAGCCGGCCTTCCTTGTAAGGCTGCTTTGCCACTTGATGAATCAGCTGGAATATCAGAACTAGTTGCCATTACAAAACGGGGACCTAACAAGTGCAAACGTGGTGCGCATGAGTTGCGTGTAGGTTCATCATCATTCAGCGTTTGTGATAGGGTCTACTTCCTTATTATGCAAAGAGATTCTAAGCGCTTATTCAAGACAAAAAAATCATTAGTTTGGTGAAATCCATCCTGTCACACTTATCAGTTTTAACAATATCCTGTTTACAAGCACAACTATTCTCAATAAGATGCACTACTGTTATGATGCACTTAAGATGGTACAACTGTTCAGTTGGGTTGAGAAATCCATAACAGGTTTCTCTTACTTAAAGTTCTTTGGGATATTTCCACCGGTTGGAAAGCGTCCCTGACACAACTATTAAATCATACAGTCCACAAAAAATGCAAGATAAAAGTCACTTCGTTTTCTTGATTACACAAAGTTCTTACGTGATGATCCAGACCCTGATAGAAATACTGAGTCAGTTAAGGTTGATGTTGTTCCTGTGACTGTGGTGGCAGATGGTTGTGAGAGACCTGTAGAAGAGAGAGCACTGGTATCACTTGGGACAACAACTGATTAAAAACTCCCTTGTAATAAAGAAAATCTATACCATGATTGTTAAAAATGGGGAAAGTGGTATTGTCTAATGTCCAAGTCAAACAATCCACATACAGTATCATATGACTGTACCTACAATGATATGAAACTTGTCAAAATTTTGACAAGCTCTTAACAGGTACAATTTAGTTAACAAAGTACTGTACTGTAGGAATTTGAGATAAAATGAGAATTCAAAGAATAGTAAAGGAAAAATTCACCTGAGTGAGGGTGAGTATAAATGCCAGGAACTGTCCTTGTTAGTCTATCAGTTGTTCTTGGACAAGGTCTAGTTCCTGGCACTGTTCCAGTAGGCTTTGTCCTTGACAAACTGGTTGTTTCACCTGGTGCATCAACTGAGGCTGCTGCACTAACTCCAGCTACAGACTGAAATTCTACAAAAAAAACAATTTATAATGATAGCAAGACAGCAACAAGAATGTAGGAAGCACTCTGGGACTAGCAAAAAGGAAGCTTACAGCATGTACCACACATACATGTAATGCTACTGAAAGTCTCTAGTTTAAGGAAAACAACTTGCACAGCACTAGCAATTACAACTGTGTGTGTCTACATAAAACCTCCTAGACAGAACCTAGTCCAAAACAGGGGCATTGTGAGAGTTAACCAATTTGACAAAATAACCCACTCAGGGCTCTCTATCTACCAGGTTTATCAAAGGATTACTTTTCAGGGAACTGCAGACCTGACTACTCCCTATGGAGGAAATGTTCTATCACTCTCATCTTTGAGAATTTTCCATCACCCACTGACAATGTACTCTTAACAAAAGGGAAGGATAAAAACAACTCTAAACTACCTGAGGCATTAAGGGTGCCAGTAATCTTCTCCTTGTGAGAGGTTTGAAATGTACATGTAAAGTGTACATGTATGAGAAAATCTAGATGTAAATCAACAAGTTTTCAACAGAATCATTTGTTTAATACCTGGTACAGTCCCTTGTGGCTGTGTGTGATGAAAGTGATGGTGGTAATGATGATAAACTGGAGTTGACCGTCCACTATTGTCCCCAGCTTCTGAACCTGAACTTGCTGGGGGCTTTTGTTTTGGTCTCACACCAAGAGCATCAAAGCTACTTGCCTCTCTAGTGCTAGAGTCTTTAAAGGGTTCTAGTGGTGATATTTGCTCAGGCCATGAAGCAGATGTTGAGGAGGATGACAGAAAACTGGTTAAAGGCTTTTCAGGGTCCTTAAGGCAAACAAGGTGAGAAGCCCTACACATTAAGCAACTTCTTTCAAAAAATCTTAAACCACACTTTAAACAGGTGAACACTGTTAAAAAATAACAACAAAGAAAAACGAGAATAACTCTTAAAAAACAAAGTGTTGACACTCATACCTTATCCCTAACAGCTGGAGAATTTCCCACCTCTGTGGGTGTCAAAGTGTACTGTGTCAGTTCATCTTCTACAGAAGTAGCATCACGACCGAGTACACTGGATTGGCCTGGCTCCCTACAAATGTAATGCAAATTTTGTTCATTTGGTAGAAAACATTGTGTAGATCATCCACTGGCTGAGTAGAAAAATTATATTGTAACACCCTAGCATAAAAAAGTCAAATTGTGAAGGGAAATCTTCAGTTTACATCTTCCATCACTTTTACTCCACTCTCTCGCACAGCTCAGAGTGATTCCCACTTGGATAAAGAGAAGTGGAAAGGCCTGTTAACAACAAATAGAGTTAAATATTTTAAGGTCACAGACTCACCTAATTCCAGATAAATCTGGTCTTTTGGAACTTGTTAAGGCACTTGCATTATTCATAACTGGCTTTGCATTATCCTGCAAAGGTCTTGTGCCATTTAGAGTGCCACCAAAGGCATCATCCCTGTAAAGTCTGCTACCATGCTGATAACTGACACTGATCATAGGTGATCTAGCAGATATGTCTAATGTTGAATCTGGAACCTGATTTCTGGCTTCTGGCCTTCTTTCTACCCCTATTGGTTGCAATCTGTCTGACATGGTCTCTCCAAGTCTGATAAGTTCAGTTGTTGAGTCACTTACAACTTCTATTTTTGAGTCACTTAGCTGGGAATTTCAAAGTTTAAAGAATTTAATGGTCAGTTTGGGCATACCCCTAAGAAGCCTGCAAAAAACATCACAAGGCAAGCACTAAAACAGATCAGGTACACATACATGCACATCAGGTTTCAAAATCTCTATGTGACCTACAGGGATGGTTATTTAAACAAACCTCAGCTATTGGTAACAAAACTGTTCCTAAGCAATCCTCAATTTAACTGGATCTTTCACATGAACATTTATTTTTGTAAACATAGTCAAGAATGCTGAAAGCTAACAGTTGAAGGACACTGTTTAAATCGAACCTCTTATGAAGAAAGCATGAGCCCACTGATTATGTAAAATGGTGGTTTGGGTTAAACCTCATGAAAATAACTGGCCCTCAGTGTTCCATTGTAGGTGTCAAAAAAGCAAAACTCACTGTTTCCTTTGGGGCTACTCATTAAGCCTTCATTTCGAAATAAAAAGCTGATGAGCAGCTTTTAAAAAATAATTTAAAAGAGTTCTACCTCCATAATCAGTTTGTATTCACATGTAAATTCTGTTTGTCTTAATACTATAAATTATTTAAAATTCAAAAACTTTAAATTGCTTTCCATGAAGGTTCCCTTGATAGTCTTCCTAGAATCCATTCATCATAAATTGGTTGGTTTGGTGTTAAAAAAAAAGGAAAAAAATGGTTTTCCTACCTTTGAAGTGTCTGCATCAAAGCCAGTGGAATTTTCATGATCCCACACAACAGAGACTCTGGTTGATGACGTTGCTGGTGTTCCTTGTTTCTTTTCCTCTCCATTTCTATCTAGCATTACTCCTCCACTTGACTGCTGTGACAATGGTGGTTCTCTCTTTATCTCCCCTCTCCTGTCCCTTTTTTTAGTGAAAAAAGGTAACAATATCATAATAAAAAAATTCATCAAGAATTTCTCCAGCATCAAAATATTACTTAAACATTATCTAAATGTAGACTATCAGCCACAAACTAGAGATCATTGACCAAATAACCATGCAATACTTAAATTCAGGTCTTATTCATTAGAAATCAAGGTTAGTTAATTAACATGCTAATTTTAGAAGCATGATCAACCGCCATATACCATAATCAAAAAAAGTTTAGAAATGTGCTACCTAGCAAAAAAATAATTATTTCAATTAGCAGTTTCCTTTTAGCTTGATCTATACATGGAATGGAGAAGGGAAGCTTGTTTTGGTTTCATCATGTAGAGTTTCTAATAAGCGAGGGTAGAAATTTGGCTCAACTGTGTTTAGCAAATGCAGTTCACAAACCTAAAACCATAAACAGCTTCATATGAGGGACCAAATTCTTCTCTTAGTACGCCAGAGATGACATCGTGTTCTGAAGTCAGCAAATTGGAATCATTTTCATCTCCAGAAGCTATAAAGAGTTCAATGCAATTTTAACAGTGACCACTAGTGTTACATCATCAAAGAAAGAAACCATGTGAAAGGACATTTCCAAAGAATCTTTCTCATAATTTGGGATTTTAGCTCAATGATCCTGGACAATTCTTAACTGGATAATAATTACACAATCTACCTAAATTTTTAGTCTAATTTTTTCTTAATTTACCATTTGGTGATCTAAAATCATTAAATACATGTAGTTGTCTGCAATAAAGTTTTGGTTGCCACACAAACAAAAAAAGTAAAGAAGTAAAACCTCTTTATACAACATTACATATGTAATATACTAATGTGCTATCCACACCCCTTGGCTTTTTTACCCTTTACACCCTAACATCATAATCCATATTCTTCATACTTTTCCCTGTACATTTCTTAAGGTGCCCACAAGGAGAATTATTTTTCCATACAAAGCTTCTAAAGTTGGCAATCACTTCCTTTGTTTTCATGATCTTAATGAATGATTCAGCATTATTACTTTAAAGAGAAATAGATCACTATTTGGAGTTTAATGGGTCAAATAAGCAGTATGGTTGAATGACAGACATAATTTTTTAAAATTCATAAATACATTCTTGGGAACCTGATGAAAAACAGGAAAATTTTATACAAGAAAATGACCAAGCATGAGTAATATTACATCGGACCAGGAAAGCTAAATTGTAACCATAGTTCATATCCCGATATGACCACCAGACCCAGGTCCCCAAATTGGCAACTTATACTTTAGATTCAGTAGCCAAAATTTTGTCCTAGCTGCCATGGGGACCATAAGAGTGAAAGTTTGGAGTGTGAATGTAAATCAAACTATCAGGAATATCTGACATTATAACCCACCCATTATTTTTTTGCATGCTTTTATTGGCTACTTTATGTCATGTGGTGCAAAATCACCAGACAAGCATCATGCAATAACTCCCGTATGCATTGATATTTGCACTGTTTCCAAAAGAAACAAAGTAAGCACAAAAAGCCAGCTCAAGAATTTTACCTGTCATCTGTAATATCTTACACACAGGAAAAACAATCTCGTTTTTCAGAGTCCAGTGATAGCAACATTAAAGCACTGGTTGCAAATGGTGTTTCAGAAAATACAAAAGAAATCAATTATTGCTTTATAACAAGCTATTTTGGTACAGTATCAAAATTAATGCAAGGGTTCCCTTTCTAGCTTGCTGGTATCTCTGCTGATAATGTCCTTGACTGACAGATTGTCCTCAAAATATCATATTTGCTCTTGAAGCTTTGCTTCTCCACCAAAAATTCATTTTTCAGACAATATCTCAGCCGCTGACATTATCAACCAAACCCTCAGGCTGTACCAGCAGCCTGAGGGTTTATTTACTACATATCATGAGGGACAACTTTTGATGACTAAGGAACCTATTCTGAGGAAGTACCAATACCACTAACCACTTTGTGTTGCAGAAACTAAGACAATATACAAGTCATTCTCCTTTGCAGACTTTTCATATACATACTATCTTGTTTGTACCTGTACAAGTATGTTACTGTTTTACTGTCACCATTCACAGGATACCCAACCACAAACTATAATAATATCTTTTGAATAACAGTAAATTATAACACTGGCAGAGACCAAATTAAACTTGGAGTGGGCTACCAACCGTCATCATCATCATACTCCATGAAAAACTCAAGCAATCCAGCAAAGATCTCTAACAAGTTCCGAATTGAAATCTTGTCACCTTCCACAATGCTGCTCCCGGTGATGTGAGTTAGATCCACACTAAGAATATCAGAAGCAACTGAATCTATCAAAGTTTGGCAGTTCAAAACATGTTGTTCATTTGAGATGGGATTTTCTACAATACCTGTGAAATGATGAAAGATGCCAAAATTAATGATAGGGTAAGAGTAACAATATTTGTGCACATGTTAGTACTTCTGGAGGTGAAAATGTATGATTCTGCTTATGGATGATCCAAGAAATCTAAGAAAAAAAAGATGCCATAGTCTAACCTTACCAGGCAAATCATCACCAAGAAGACCTCTGTAAACTGCGACAAAGAAGTTGTCACTGCATTCCTCAAGTTTAGATATTGTGCCAGGAAGGTTGCATTTTTCCAACAGCTCATTTGCTATAGCTATAAAAGCTGAAAACATTTGTGATAATCAGCCAGTAGAGATTTAAGTAAATTAATAGAATAGATCAGCAATAGAAACAAGAGTAAAATACAAATTTAAAATTAAAAAGGAAAGCTTTAAGTATTTTTGGTTTAATTTTCCGTTTCAACCAGTCCCACAGTAGAAGCGCAGAACT